GGGAGGAGGGAGAAGAGGAGCCGGGCCGAGAAGCCGGGCCGCGATGGAATACTCGGCGCTGCCTGTCCCGGCGCCTGGGTGCTGTGCAGAGGAAGAGCACGGCGCGGGCAGGGAAGATACTAAACTCATCAGCCCAGGTGGAGCGTCTTTCCCAAGGACAGCCCTGCCATGTTAGGCTCTCCTGGGGCTGAGGGCAAGGGGCTTGAGGCCTGGCAAAGCGACGACTCCGGATCGCCTGCGCGGCCTCCCCACCTGACCAGCCACAACGCCCCTCCGGCGCGGGCCCTGCCACCCCCGCCCGGGACACACCTGCACTCCGAAACAGGCAGGGGATTGAGGCTTGGCCTTCCCTGGGCAGCTCCCAGGGTTTGGGTAGAGAGCTCTCCCCCCGCGGCCGGCCGGCGCCTCAGTGCAGGGCTCAATGGGAAGCTGCGCGCTAGGCAGTGTGGGGAGACTGCTAATACCAGGCCCCGGAAAGGCATCGGAATCCGGATTTCACGCCAGGACGAGACGGAGATTCTGTGGCTCCCTTCGGGCGCTTGTCCCCCTCCCGGGGCCTTATTGCTAATTTGCATTGGTCAGGCTTGAACTTCCAGCCACTGGTTCTCGTGACGCCTTTAGGTGCCGAAGAAAAGCCCTGTACTCGCCATTACTGTCTCCTGGCGAAGGCACGTCTGCTCCGTGAGCACGTCACCACCTGAGCTTGCTGAGGAGCTGAACAGATTGAGCTCTGAGTGTCTCTCTGGTAGGCACTTGGTGGCTTTCCCTCCGAACTGTACCCGCGTATTCACCCTCCTTTTTCAAATGTGGTCAACACACCTGAGCAGGCAGTTCCACATCAGCCTCACCAACAGCACATGCCTCGCGGCGCAGACACAACCGCTTGAGACCGCTCCAAAGAGGGGGTTATCGTAGAACACTAGGACTGGAAGGGACCTCGCGAGGTCATCGAGTCCAGTCCCCTGCCCTCACGGCAGGACCCAGCACTGTCTAGACCATCCCTGACAGACATTTATCTAACCTGCTCTTAAATATCTCCACAGATGGGGATTCCACAACCTCCCTGGGCAATTTATTCCAGTGTTTAACCACCCTGACAGGCAGGAACTTTTTCCTAATGTCCAACCTAAACCTCCCTTGCTGTGTCAGCAAGGGAGGTTGTGGAATGTCCATCTCTGGAGAAATTTAAGAGCATTAAGTCCATTGCTTCTTGTTCTATCTTCAGAGGCCAGGAAGAACAAGATTTCTCCCTTCTCCTTGTGACACCCTGTTATATACCTGTAAACCACTATCCTCTCCCCTCTCAGCCTTTTTTCCAAACTACTAAACCGCTATCCTCTCCCCTCTCAGCCTTTTTTCCAAACTACACAAGCCCAGTTCTTTCAGTCTTCCTTCATAGGTTATATTCTCTGTACCTTTAATCATTCTTGTTGCTCTTTTCTGGACCTTCTCCAATTTCTCCACATCTTTCCTGAATGTGGTGTCCAGAATTGGACACAATACTCCAATAGAGGCCTAATCAGTGCAGAGTAGAGCGGAAGAATGACTTCGCATGTCTTGCTCACAAGGGTTGCCACGGAGAACTATTTTAAACATAGCGTCTTTTACACTCCGATACCAACTTGCTCCCCACTCTTTGAAATATCTGAAGCAATTACAATTAGTCTGTTTGCCTTTCACGACTCGGTCAGCATCCCAAGACGACTCTTGCTTCTCAATGGTCAGCACATTGAAAAACAAACCCAAGAATTTACACTTTTCTGTACCTGTTTGACCGACGCTCTCGCCTCCGTTCTCCATAGAGTTTGTTTGGAACAATGAAATCATGGAGCCTTTGGGCCCAGGGTAATTGAGTTTTTGGGTTTAAACAGGAGGGGCCGGTTCCTTAGCTAGGAAATCAGGAGAGCTATGGTAATGTCCGTGGCGCTATGTGACTTGCTCCCACTGAAGGGCTGACCTGAAATCATTTTCAGATAGACTCGTATCTCGAAGGAAGACCAACTTTTTTTGCCTAGGACTGTTGTACGCGCTATATGGGAACAGCATATAACACTCGCCCTTTCGAAAACATTTTCTTCGGGATTCTAATGGTTTTTCAGCCTTTCTGACATCCATCTGCAGACGTTACCATGTCACATTTCACATCCTGCTGCCTGCCACTGAAGGCCGACCTTCGGCACTCAAATCAATTAAAATCAAACCGACATCAAGTCATTCTCGTAGATTACTTAGTAAGCTTC